GATAAGTTAAGTTGGTTGTGGAATCTATCAAACGGCGATTCTTAAGATCGACAAGCAAAGAAATTTTTGAAAAAAATCAGCGCCACTAATAGGATTTGAAACAGTAGCAATAATGATTGACCATTGGATGTTGCGGCGCAATCCTAAATCAACAGATATCAGGCGTTCACCAAAAGTTTGAATAGGAGTTCCATTTTCTACATAAAGTTATAACTTGGTAAGGCGCTTTTGTTCGTGAAAATGTGGTGGAACGACAGAAACATCAGTTCCGGTGTCTACAAGAAACCTTAAGCACGAATTCTTTTCGATGACGAAAAAGCGTGCAAAATTCCGGCCGCTGTCGTTCACAGCTTCGAGCAACGGCCCTTCTCGTTTCCCTGGTCGTTATAACGACATGGTGGGCGGCATTTGTTTGCCTAGTTTCCAAATCTGTGGTGGTAAAAACAAATACCCGGGTTATGAATACCCGGCTTTCATAACGTTTCCTCAGTGGGCTACGACGTGTATTTCGACCACGTGATGTGGAGCGGTTGCGCTGAAAAGGTTCAGCTTGGATGGCTACTAACTGAACAACCTGTTTGGACAAATCATCAATTTGAGCCTGTAACGCCACAGGACAGGACAGGAGAAAAGTGTAAGGGGCACCATTACGTCGCCATAGGCAGAAGTGGTATTGCCCCTGTACACTAACTATCCAGGGGAGCCCCGCGTCGGCATTTATTGAAAAATCAAAAGGTGGTACATACATTCATTATACATACATTCGTTAAACATACATTGATTATACATAAATTTGACATGTAACATTTGAAATTTAACATTTACCATACATTTTATATACTAGGCATTGTAACTTTATGAGTTTTTAGGCGAATCACAGAGTTTTTAAGGTACACAGTTCATTTGGTTCATTGGGTTTGTAAGGATATTCGAATCGTATTAAGTTCATTGAGTTCATATAGTTCATAGAGATCATGGCGTTTAGAGTTCATAGGGTTTGTAAGAGAAACAGTTCTGAGTTATACAGACAGTACATACATTTATAGGAGATGTCCCTGGCACAGTTCACGTGAAGCTTAGATAGTTTATAAGGTGCACGGTTCTTATGATCTATTGAGTACACTGTTGTTTATGGTTTGATGAGTGTACAGGGTGTATCGTTCATGGTTCGATTCTGTAGTATGCATGGTGCATTGATCATAGTTTGCGAGGTGTACGCGGTACACCTGAGTCACTATTAGTTGTCTCTTGTATACTGGGCTTATTGTTACATATACTATACTTTTGCAGTTATTGCTTATATAGCATATATGGGAGCACCCCATACCTTTCGGCTTGGTTTCTTTGGAGCATTAGGTTTTATGGAGCACCGAGTTTTACGGAGCACTTTTTGGAGCACTGAGTTTCTTTGGAGCGCTGAATTTTACGGGTGGCAAAGGTCGAGCCCATGCCGGTGGAGCACGTCGATGATAGCTTTTATCTTGTTCTACACTCTGGTGTGCTGTATGAGGAAGCGTTTGAAGGAGATCTGTACATCTGCTGGGTGCCTGATGTGGTGGTCTGCGGTCAATGGACACTGGAATAAGTAGTGATCTACATTTCCTTCTTGACCGCAGACACATTGGTTCGTGTTGGCAAGATTTCTTGCGTTGAAGTATGTCGGATATGGCCCATGGCCTGTGATGTACTGTGATAGAAAGTAATGTGTAATCGTACGGGAGGTATCAATTTTTGGTAATAGAGTGTATGTTCGACGACCTTGCAAGCTTGTGTCCCATTCATCTTGCCACTTCTTTTCTGCTAAATATTTTAGGGATATTTTTAATGCTGATCTTGGCCATGGTGTCTGGATTGGTGTGCCAATTTGTTCAAGAGCGGTAGTTTTACCTTCGATATCAGAAGAATTATGATGGAAAATGAGTATACAATCAATTATCCAATGAAAGACATCTCGTCACAACACAAACAGTTTAATATTACAATTCTATTTACAAGTCTAATTAAGTGTTAGTTTTAGCTTTGACACCTCAAAGCAATACTCAGAACATAAATGGCATAAAATATTACTCATCAATTTTTAAACACTCGTGAAAAACATCTCAAAAAGTCATTATTCTCATTACTTAAAAACGAAAGTAAACAATAGAACAAACTCGAAAACGTAGATGTAAAAACTCAACTGTTGCCAATCGCGATTTACTAAATTACATAAAAATAAAGATAATAATCAGGTAGAGGTTCAACTTCACAAGCGGCTTGTTTAGCCAATTTGTCTGCTCGTTCATTACCCATTTAGTTAACATGCCCTCGGGTCCATGATATGACGTGTTGCCTGGTACTGTAGATTATGGCGTCTTGGATTAGTCGGGCTATTGCTGAATTTGTTTGAGGATCCTTGATTGCAAATATTGATCACTGGCTATCTGTTATGATGTGCACTGGATCTGCTTGGATTTGATGAAGGATGTGGAGGCTGTGGAGGATGGCTATCAGTTCCGCCTGGAACACGCTGTTCTGTTTCTTTAGATGACCTTGCCATTCTGTAGCTGTGTTGGCGAGATGAAGAATAGAAGCTGCGCATCCTATTTTGTTTTGTATCTTGGATCCATCTGTATATGCTCTATAGTCGGTATTGGGAGGTGGTGAGGTGAGATTGCTCTTGAGCCTGTAACGCCACAATAACAGAAGCCTGCACTGCGTGTATTTGCGCTAGTGAATTTTATCAGCAATTTCAGGAAGATTTTTAAGTGGCTCCCTACTGGCCGCTAAAATGGTTTGCATGTTAGATGGGAGTCTATTCGTCCATATTGTTTTAAGAATGTTATCCGTTAGGTTACCGGCGGCTAAGTCTGACATTTTAGACAGCAGTTGAGAAGCCCTCATATCACCCAACCGTAAATCGTGCAACAACTGCTTGATTCTGTCTCGGATTCTTCATTTAATTTTTTTTTTTTTTTTTTTTTTTTTTTTTTTTTTTTTAAGATTTGTATTTGTCCGTCGCCGGTGAATTCAATATTTCACGAGCTGATTGCCATACCTCTGATTCTAACGCGGCGATCGCTGTATAAAACTGAGTTTCGTCGGCAGTAATATGACTCAACTGCGCATCCAATTGAATGAACCATAACGATGGGTCTCAGCGACAAAAAGGCGGTGGCTTAACTGCCACTCGCACCAATTGTGAAGCGGCATCGTTGCCGCCATTCAAATATGCACAATAATTATATGCATAGAAAAGTAATCAGTATGTATATAGTGACACAGTTTCTTGGTTCTTGAAATCAGAGAAATTGGCGGCTCAAATGCAGTAGACGATACATATATCCGCTGAAATTATGACAGAAATATGTTGAGTCACCGGAACGCGGCACAACGCTTGAAATGACAGGTGAAATGTCTTACTTGCATCTCATCACACTGGATAACTTACTGCTGCTCAGAATTTTGACATATAAACTCCATATTCGTGAAACATTGAAGGTTGCTATTCATAATAAATACGTGTCACCAATTATGGTAGTACAATTTTTTGAGACAGATCATTAAATAATTATAACAATTGAATAGAATAAATATTATTTTGTTTTTGGTTGCTATGGGTTATCAGGCTGGCAGAGTTGAGTTGTAGTAGGCAAGTGCCACATATCTATTTATCTATAATGTATATTAAACTTTCAATTGTTTAAAAACTGAACTTTTTAAAAACACTTATATAAATATGTAAAATAAATAACACCTTTTTAAATAATTCTAGATCATTGTATATCTAATTTTTCCGCCGACACAGATGCATTTCCGAATCCAAGGCTGGTGCAGTTAGGTAGGGACTATTTTTAATATATTTTTGAGTATTTTATGGCAGATTCAGAATTTCATTATTATTTGCATTATTTTCTTATTACGAATATATTCTATACATTATATTGTAAGGATCTTAAGTTTTACTAACGTTTATTTTATTTTAAATCTTTACTATCACTTCTTATTTTCTACTTCCGGCCAGAATTAAAAGCTTTAACTTATTTATGCAAATTTGTTGGCGAACGCCAAGTACTTAAGTTGTGGCTTTTTGCCAAGCAAAGGAGAGGAAGGAGTTAGTAGAAGCAGGCCGCTTGCCTTAGCAGTTTTACTCGGTTGCTGGTTGCCTTCCAGGCCAGAGGTTTAATCCTCTTAATAATTTTAAACGTATTGTAGTGTTAACAGTTCTCTGTACTACATACGGCTTCCTGTTAATATACGGCCAATCTTCTCGGAGGCCCTTGTTTGTTACTCCACAGTTAAGTTAGAGTTTAGTTAATATTTTTATATTCTTACGTTCAGACCACAAGTGGTTGGTCTCTGTATTCCGAAGTCCGGAAATCATTGTAAAGAGTGAAAAATAAAGGGTTTCGTATACCCTTCCTGTGTATCTTGTCTACTTCCCACATTTATTGAACATAGCTTTAGTAAGCTCCCTGTTCCGAGTCAGGTCTTTGAATGTTCCCAAAGCAAGTAAGGCGGAATATTGAACCTGATAATATTACTGAAAGTTTTTTTTGGGGGGGGGCGCCAAAAAGGTATTTTGCCCCGGGCGCCAGTTATGCTTGTTACGCCACTGAATGTAGTGCGAGCCATTGTGACTCAACGGACTTCAGTCGAATTCAAAACAAATACACCAAACAAAAATTTTCGCGGCCAAGTAGAACGTATATTAAGTTGGGCGGAAGTACCACCGAAGCCAAGTGAAGCACGATAGAATTATCAAGGTACCACTGTATGAACAAAGGTTGCGATAATCAAGACCGAGTAAGGACTTTTGTGGACACGGTGGTTTGTGAAACATTTGTCCATCAGATTTGATGGACGGAATGAAATTAATTAATAAATCATGCCATTTTATCTAAAAGAAATTCTTTGTCCCTAAATAACATCTGAATTTTGTCGTTAGATGATTTCTTTCTTCTTCTTTGTTTTATTTTATCTCAAATAAAGCTAAAATAATGATAAAATTTCTTTTCTAGGGGAGAGGTATGTTTACAGATTTGTATCGGATCCAGAAGCTCTTTTTTCTATAAATGTCAAGGAGCAACATGTAGAAAAAATGGATATATCAACTGAATACAATCCTAGACAAAACTCTACAAACAGGAAACTATATTCACCAGACATTAATACTTTTCATCACCACTCAGGACACTGTTCCAGAATTTCTAGAAATCCAGAACATTATGGATACCAACCTCTGACCTGTCTCCAAGACCTGACTTCTCGCCCTACGACTAGAGAAAACAGATGTGTGCACAATACAATGGACAGCTGTGTGTTCTAGGCATTCAGATTATTCCCAATTCTCCCAGCATATGTTCATAACACAAAACAATTGAGTTTTCTTGAGCATCTAAGAATATTTATGGATATTAACTTCAGACGTTTCCTCGAAACCAGCCAGAGATACAGTGGCTCGTATTTGTTTTCGACCACTTGGTGTTTCTCAGTTTTATTTGCAAGTATCAGTTACTAAATATTAGCAAAATATTTTTGTTTTCCTTTCATATAAATAACTGATCATCTGTTTTAAAGCCTTCTTGTTTTGAAAAAAAGTTTTTCAAAATGTGTTAGGTAAAAAAATAATTTATTAAAAAAGTTCTGAAAATGAGCTCATATAATTATTCGGACATTTTGAATAAACAATTTTATATTTAACAAAAACGTCAAAATAAAATGATATTTAATATTTCTTTGCACATTATTTAGCTAAAATTAGTTTTCGCACACTTTGGTATGGATTAAATTAATTTTTTCATGTAAAAATATCCTATTTTTCCCTTTCCTACATAAAAAATGCTTTTAGTAGAGCATTCGAAGAAGGAGAGTGTTTGCTTATTATCTTTTCCAACTAACTCCATACATTGAGAAGTAATATATATATTTCAATGTATGGAGAAGTTTTGATAACTTCAGGCTAGTTACATAATAATCAAAAGCGAACATTTAAGGCTGTATGTTTAGGATCGTTTTGCTGCTAGAATTTTAATCTATTTTGCATTCCAAGTTTCCTTGATGCTTTCAGGTTTTCTTTAAGAATATTTATATATTTATACCAATCCATATTATTTTCGATTAGCACTAAATATCTTACTCCAAAGGCAGAGAAACATACTTAAACCATTATTCCTCTACCCCCCGCGCGTGACATTAGGCCATTATTTTGAATCTATCAGATTGAGATATATTAAATTCAGACTTTTCTGCCAACTTTCTGTGTATAGCTTTGCTCCAATGTGATAAAATTTGGCTTACTATAGATTTTAGGAATGCCAGTCGCACTTGCTGACGAAGTTGATCGTTCATTGTATCGATATGCCTTAAATGGTTCTTCTAGAAGTTTCAAGGTTACTTTTATTGCAAACTGTTCTTCTAAATCTGCTGTACGTTTTACAGTACTAGTTTTTAGATCTTGTTTTATTTTTCATAGAATGAATCTGTCATTCCTTGTTATTAGCCTGAAATGTAGTCCAGACTTCAGAGCATTTTCAACAGTTCCACTCAATTCCTGTCGATTTATTACATCAAAGACAGTTGAAAGGCTTTATTTACATCAAGCACTTTCTGGATCTTTCAAATACTTTTAACATCTCTTAAAAGACGAATTATTAAATCTCTAACAACACTTGTCTTTAATTTGTAGCTCATTAACCTGTTCACTTCAAATATGGAACTGTTTATGCATTTAGCGAAGCATGTAAAATTTCCAAATGCAGACAGTATGTATTTTCATTTAAGACAAAAAAATTGTGACAAGAAACATTGTCAAAGAACAACATTTTGTCTGAATTATTATGTGAGTTCTAATGAAGACTTGAGCAAATTATTTTATTACAAGGAATATTTTGACGATATCTACTGACGATATCTATACAACAAACAAAGCTTAACATAGAGAAAAAATAATATATTAGAAAAAAATTGATATTTTAAAAAGTCTATATGTTTCAATTTTAGCACAAGATCTATGCAAATAAATTTCAAAAATGCAAATGGTTGAAAGCAAATGTGAGCCATTACAGTATGCGTATGGAACAAAATCATTTATGGGTTATCATGCAGTATGCGATCCAGGGGCAGACGGGAGTGATTTGTATAAATGTGCCGCTTCCTTTATGCAAGTTGTAATATTTCTCTAAGGTAGAAAAGTGCTTCACATTAAGAAACAGAAGTGCCCGACACTATTATGAAGTCCATTGTGTTTCATGAAGATTCCGAAACATTCGTTTGAAGATCTAAGTGAATAGTTTGAATAGTCAGTTGAATAAAGGGTGCCTTGGATGCCCATGAGAAGATCTAAGTGAATAATTGCTAACTTCAATGAAGATGATGGCAATCCCTGGAATTTTAGTTTATGCCATGAAACATGCAGCCTTCGTCAAGATTCCATAGCTTTCCTTTGATGATTTAAGTGAATAGTCACCGATTTGCATAAAGATGCCGGAGATATGCTAGTTTTTATACAAAGGGGCCACTTTCATCAAGACATAAGGGGTGCCTGGCACTCTTTCTTATCAAGTTAAATTTACACCACGAAGAATGCGACCTTCAACAGGGTGTCTGAACGCTTATGATCAGATCTTTATTTCAATGAATAGTCATTGAAGTGCATACATGTAAGGTTTGGCACCCTTATGAACTTCGAATTTGGAGGAAGAAACTTTCTCCATCCAACCTTTTATACTCTACATCATAAAGATGCTGGCACCTTTTTATAAGTAGGCTGATGTCTGTCAGGGATACTCTGGCATAAAAATGCCAACACTCTTGTGAAGCCGGTACCGTTATTAAGCTAAGTTTCTGACTTGAAGAAAGAAACATTCGTAGAGGTGCTGGAACCTTTATATCAGAGCATCAGTAGGAGTCTTTGCAAAATACCGTTATAAAGGTAACGGCGGTAAATTGGGGAAAGCCCCTTCCATCGAGATTCCGAAACAAGTGGCTTCTGTCTTGACGAACAATCATACGTCCCTGATAATAAGTACCGCTTTGGTTATTTTTTTTAAAACTTTTTTAGATGGCAGCACTAAAATTGATTTTTATTGTAATCGTTTCTTTTCCCCGTTATTTTATTTCCCATTCAGAATAAAAAAAAGCGTTTTAGTGTCGCTATCTGAGGAACAAATAACTAAAAGCAGTAGATCTCATTCTGCATGATTACCTATTTATGTGCTGCTACGATGATTATTATTGAGGCACACCAAGACAACCATTTTTAGAATTGGAAATGCGAGATTCCATAACTCTACAATGTTCAATTTTTTTAATACTAATTTCGATTTATATTAAAGGATTTTATATTAAGCACTAGCCGCTATACGGCCAGTCGTCTGGCTTTTAACTGTAACGGAAAACAAACGTCCTGTCGACAGACGTCGTATCCAAGTACCTCTCGACAAACGCCCAGTATCCAAGAAAAACATTAAATTTAAAAACTGCACAGAATTATCGCCCTGATTTTTCCGAGTGGCAATAGTGTTGATATCAGCAACAATGGCAACAGTCATATATCAGCAACAATGGCTGCGTGCCATCGATTTGATGCGATTTTGTCAAAAAAACGTAAAATAAAAATATATATATATAATTCGAATTTTGAAAAACGTCGCTTCGGGTGCACTCGCTCTTGTTCAGATGCACCCTATGTACCAAATTTTGTAGCCCTGAGTTTATTAGCTTACGCGCAGCACGAACACACAGACAGATTTTTCCTTTTGTTATACCTGTATGTAGAGATAATTAAGTTGTGATAAACAATTCTCAATAAAAAGCATATTATTAATATGTAAGTTTTATTAATAGTAATGGCCAATGTTAAATCAGATTTTCCTTTCAAAGAATATACATTTATAGTAAAATACAATAATTAGCAATAAAATTATAGTTTTTTTAACTTATTTTTTCATTTTCCTATTTCATTCAATTTTGTAAAATCAATCATGGAATAACATTCGAGAGATAACGGCGATGTTAACAGATTTCATTATTAATGAATGAAAGCTCTATGTAACATACCGAATTATAATAATAATATTTTTTCAATTGCAGCTTGATATAATCTCGAAAACTTTAATATTAAAGTTTCAAAAAGTTAATAAATATTGAAATTTTTGAAAACTATAAAAAATATATTCCTGTCTTCATGAGCTGATTACACTTTAGCGCCTACAATTAAAAGCTAAACGATAATGATTAACCAATTATAGTTTGTCAGTTCAAAGTAGGAGCTTCAAGGACTTTACGCCCTTCCTCATTTACGTACATAACGCTTGTCGTTATCACCATACAGCACTTATTTTCTATACTTCATTTAAGTTTAGGATCAAGCCGATGAACGGATAGTTTAGTGAGCCTTTACATCAGAGATTCCCAATCTTTTCTTGCATAGACCCCCTTACTTTTTTTTTTTTTTTTTTTTTTTTTTTTTTAAACGTACAACATTATCGTAAAGCAACAACATAATCGTAACGCCAGGGGGGGAGGAAATAACAATTAGCTGATGTTTTTGTGTTAGCAACAACTGTTTTTGTCAAATATAAAGGATACATTTACAAACTGATGAAGCAATTGCCTTTTGAGCAAAACGTTCTGTTAACAAGCTTCAACGGCCGATATGACTGAAACTAGAGGCGAGAATTTTGCAATAATTCATTAATTTTGCTTTCTTCGTACTTTTTTATTGTGTTTTCTTGCGAAAAGTAATTTAAATTTTGTATAATTTAATAACTTAATTGTATTTCGCAATTTTAATTTTAATTTTGTATGTATCTTAATGGCTTAAAAAATTCATATATTTAAAAAATATTATTAATTTAAAAAATACATAAACTAATTTTTGTGTGTTTTCTCCTTATATTATTTTCTATGCTTTCTTTAATATTGCGTGATACAGCTTTACAAGTTAAACAATTAACTATTAATTTAATCAGTTAATTTTCTGTGATCAAGAAATCTAATTATGCCGATACTTATTCGGCATCGACCCCTTATTAAAATACGAAGGACGCGAAATTGGAATGGAAAACAAGTTGAATATTTTTGAACGAGGTGATTAAAAATTAAATTAAGAAATTTTATGCCACATATTAAAAAAAATTGTATCGGTACATCAAGTGCTGCGATTAAATTCATTAAAATCGAAGGTTCGCGTGCTATTAGAATCTTGGTTTGGGAGGCCTGCTCTAAGAATTCCAAGATTTGGGTTATTGCATGTGCTGTCATCTGGTGGCGCAAGAGAAAGTTATTTATCACGTGAGTGTTTTACTTATGCAATTGCCAAAATTCTGCGTTTTCGTATATGAAAATATGCAAAACGCGTCGCTTATTTGGATCAACAATAATTTGAAGTTATCATCAAGTATTAATGAAGGAATTTTTTGAACTGAAGCAAATTCGAAAAATAGGTTTGTAAATGCATTATGAAAATCGCCAAGTGGCACAGAAATGCCCCTAAACAAGGGATTCAATCGAAAAATCTCTTGGT